ACCAGATTCCAGAGGACGAAGCCGACGATGTTAAGGCACACATAAAGACCAAGTTAAAAGAGTGGTGGCCTGATCTTATTCCTGAATCCCAGATCACCTACATATCTGTAAAAAATGCTCTCGGTGCTCAGAGCCGTGGAAAGATTAAAACCGACTTCATCACCCTGATGAATGGAATCCGTATTTTTGTTCTAAAATGCATTGAGCAAAGGTTGGGAATTCACTGGAGGTAAGTTCATGCCTACTTTTGATTATGGAATTAGGTGTTATAGTTTTATTGTGGTTATAACTCTTAAACAAAGTCAAATGATTAAAAAAGAGACAGAAACTTTAGATTAGTAACATAAGAAGAACTTTGAATTAATTTTTTACATCACGGTCATCCAAACTCCAACACTAATGGGCAAACTCTTTTCGCGGTCCGAGTTTTAAATCGTATATGTTAAGTAACTTAAAGGATTAAAACGAATGGTTACGATGAACGCCACTAGAGATCATAAGAAAGTCAACAAGAACATGACCACCATACTTTATCGTCTGGAAGTGCTTGAGAGACAACAAACCCAACTTATTGATAGGATTCGCATAGATATGACAGCCCAAGCCAACGAGGTCGAAACAAAGCTCTGCGAATTTCTCAATTCAGAGGATTTGGGAACACAATTCATCTATCGATTTTACGGATCTGCTCCATCCGTAAGTGAGCTGGACGAAGAACTGCAAGTAATTTTGCAACAGTGGGAAGATAAAAATCACGTATTTGCAAATGCTTTTAGCTTGCCTCTTCAACGATTTTTGGAGCAACACAATTTAGCAAAAATGCAAATCCTGAATCTTCAACGTGACATCTCGGAAGGCGAAGTCTCAATGGCCACACCAATTTACCCACATTGTAAGTTTAGCGCTTCCGTGGTCTTCATTTTTGATCTCTTTGCTGAGAGGCTTGGAATATTCAGGAGTATCTCTGGATCCTTGGGTGGACTCGACACCATTATGCCTATGATGAAGAATTTTACTTCTTCTCTTTGGATGAGAAAGAGCTTTCTTCAGTGTGTTATAAATGGAGATGCAGCTAAGTCTATGGTAAATAAAATGCTTAAAAAGCATCTGAAACGTTTGGAACAAATTGGAAATCAAGTTCCACAGATGATTCAGGCCAACAAAAAGTTATGTGAAGAACTCCGTGACAACAAGCAATCACACCAAAAGATTATAGAACTGTACGAGCCAATTAGGAACTCTGCTTCTGCCATAAGAGGACACCTAGCTGCATTTGGGCTGAGAGAGGCCTGTGCTCACTGCAACGAGGAGTTGCAGTGGAAGGATGATGCATCTGCCTTTCTTGGGTGTGGTATGTTTGCCTCTGTGTACAAAGGGAAGATGATAAGACATGGATTCGAGCAAAAAGTAGCTGTGAAGGTTTGCCGCAAACCTCTAGACGTCGAAAATGCAAGTCTCGTAGTTGAAGAAATGACCCTTTTGAGGTGAGAAAAAATTCCCCCATTTCCATCTCAATATTCTAATTTTCCCCCAAATTATAATGCCGCGTATCTGGAGTAGGACTTGAGGAAAAATTGAGCATCAACCGTTTGGCTCTTTTTTAATCCTATAATTGAAACAATTGATTGAAATCTTACGCAGCAAGCGCGCCATGATTTCGGAGACTTTCCAATGTATTTGTAGAAACAGAAAGTTTGAATCAAAGGAATTGCGATAAGTGCTGTTGACGTTCATTCATATAGTGAACTGTTATGCTTACTTTTGAAAAGAACCCTTGTTTGGTGGATTACTTCTAAAGGTCTACTCTTTACATTAGGCGTGTCAGAATTTTTAAATTATAAATTAACTTTTTAAGCATAAATTAACTTTTTGGGAGCTTGACTTGCTGCTTTTCGTCGATACCATTTTTTTACCGTAATTGGCAGTAATGTCGCAATCTGATAGGCCAGTTTGTTGTTGTTGATAAGAGTGCAGACCAAGCTAAACTGCTGTCGACTAGTTAACTCTCTCTCAATGTACATACTCTACTGTGTGTTGTTTCGAACAAAGCATCTTTCGCCCTGCACCATAGTTCATGCGTGATATTTTCCTTTGACAGAAAATTAGATCACCCTCATATTGTCAAGTTTTTTGGGACTGCACTCTTGAAAAAAGAGGACGGGTTAAGGTTGATCTTTGTGATGGAAAGGTGCACAGAAAGCCTCAAAGATCACATCTTCAAGCACCGAGAATCTGTTCCGGGTCTATCCGGAAAAACAGCGGACCTTAGAGTTTGTCGTTGGGCGAAAGAAATCACCGCTGGTCTTCACTTTATGCACGAAGTAGGCATTATCCACAGAGACCTCAAGCTAGAAAACATCTTGGTAGGTACTTACAGCGATCTTAATATTTTTATCGCATCTTGCCAGTCCTTGCAAGTCAGTGGAATTGATTAGTCATTTAAAATTATAGTTTTACTTTTCAATCATGGGCATCCAAACTTTTCAATCATGGGCATCCAAACTTCTAGAATTTCTGCACAAATCTCAAAACCAACTGAATCACAGCGGAAAATGTCGCTTCTTGGGTGACACTGCACTTAGCCCGTAAAGTTCATTTCCCGAACAAATAATAGAGAATGGTAGTGACTGAAGTATTATAAAATGTGATTGTCAAACAATTGATAAGCGAGATACAAGCCATTTTACCGTACATTGAGTTTTCGTCTTCACAAAATTACGAACCGAAACTTCTCTCAATTACGAATGCGGGAAAACATTTAGTGATTTCCAATCCAATAATAAATATACTTATCACATAAACTGCGGTGTTATACAAGGGTTTCCGGCCCTAAGAAAAGCCGTAACAGCACACGTGAAAAAATATCTATTTTTTCACGTGTTTTAATATAGCCAATCAGCTGCTGACACATCACTCGGCTTTGGCGCCACCCGGTCAGGTTGATAAATGAACAGCAAAGCCTTCACGACTCTCAATACAAGGTAGTTTGTAGGAACTTCCTCGGATTTTGACGGCTAACTCTAAAAAATCTGTATCGCTGACAGACAATGAGGTTCAAACTTTCCTAGAAGGGGAAAAAAACCAATATACGAAAAGAAAAACCGAAAGTTACGTATTCAGTGGCTTTGATGTTGGCATTTCTCGCGGCTGAGAATAAAAATTGACAACTGGAAGCTTTGCCACTGGCCGATCTTGGCCGTTTACCTTAAAGACTTCTTCTTTCGGTAAGGAAGAAGTCAACAAATGAGAATTTGTAATTGAAAATTACGACTATTTCTGTTTTTGTAATCATGATTCGACGATTTTTCCGTCTTACGAGTTAGCGCCAACGCACTGAACGGTTTTTTATTCGGGGATTGTTGATTCGTTTATTTTCATTCATTAATGAAGTCGGCTTTTCTTGTCAGTAAAGGGCTATTGTGTTTATATGGTAAACAAAATAATACATGGCTGCTTGTATATATGCAATTTCTCTTCTCGTGTCCAACTCGACATCTCACTCGTTCGCTGCACTCACTCGTGAGCTATCGAGTTAAACACTCGAAGAGAAATTCTATTTCTACGCGCGCCCGTGTATTACTCTCTATTTGTCTTTGTTTTTATTTAAGCTGTCGGAAGAGGATTCCGTGAGAATAGGTGATGTCGGCGTTTCTAAGGAAGCAAGTAAAGTCAGCGGTACTGTTAAGGGATCTTTTTCGTACATGGCACCTGAGGTGTTCCATTCTAAACTATATGATTTCAAAGCAGACATCTACAGTTTTGGAATAATGCTTTGGGAGATGTGGTTTGGACGACGAGCATTTGCTGAAGTTGAAGCGTTAAACAATCAACATTTCTTTAGCTTGGTGGATCATGGGCGTCGTCCGAAAGATATCATGGAATTGAAAAAGCCTCCACGCCGCTGGAAAGAACTTATGGAGAGATGCTGGGATAGAGACCCAGAAAAACGTCCCACAGCTGACAATTGTGAGCGAGAAATGACTGAAATCTGCAGCGGATGGACTGGTCATTAGGAAGAACCATGTTCCAAATTATACATAAAGGCTACCGTCAATAATTGCACATATACTTTGCTTATATCACAAGCAAGCAGACAAGTTTAATTAGCATTTTCGAACATCTGTCTTTTTTTAATTTCACATCAAAGGGTGCCAATGGCTAGGACCATTCGTATCACTAACACAATACAATATTGTTACAACACAATTTTGTTACCATTTTTGGCCTACAAATTAATTTTTACCTCGACCGCCCGCTTAACTAAGATTACGTTTTGTTCCTCGTTGCGGAATCAATAAAAAGAAGGCTGTGGCATGGCTGAACATTACACAACAGCTTGGTATGTCTTTGGCCAAGATACTGGAAAGAGTTCACAGTTCTTCCTTGGAGATATAAGCAGGTGTTTGTGGAAAGAAGGGAAATGACTAGTGAGTTAATGGTTTTACAGTTTAAGATGAGTTTCAATCATCTGAATGGTATCAGGTAATTTCTTTGTACAACCATGGAACCATGGTAGTTTTACTCAGGGAAGCAACAATTAAACTGCATTTCATTTCATTGGGATTTAGTTTCGAATGGTGAGATTTTAATTCGGATAGATTTCAAATTCGCGAGTAAACGTGACTCACGCCATCGTCATGCAGATTGATATGTTGTATTATTGACTTTGTTTCTTCCCTACACGCTACATGGAAATCCGTCATCAATTTAAAGTGGCTCCATAGCGTTGTTGGTCTGATTATGACATATGCACTGGCGTTCTTTTCATAGATTATTATTATGTGCTTTCTGCCTTCAAGATCACTAAAATTGACCAAAATGTAATAAACAAGATTCAGACTGTTATTTTCTGTAGTTGATGTCAACATCAACATGAACATAAACAGGTTTTCGTTCTTGAGGTAAAACAAAATAAATGAAGGCGCTCGGCTCCAATTACTTCGGTGACATTTTCCACAATTTTCACAGTAAGTGACACTTTTTCCCGTTAATAATTGTGAAATTGAAATAAGAGAGGTTAAACGGGAAGATTCTTCGCTTTTTTTCATTTTTCGTTTTCCCATTCTAACTTGTTCATGACATTTTTCTAATTAATTGGCAACATAAAGGGCATAAATATGTTAAACGTTCTGCCAAATTTTCGGTAATTCAATCATAAGAAACGCGATAAATCTTATTCGGAAGATTTCTTTTCTTTTTAATCCCAAAATATTTCGTTATCGAATAGAACTTAGCCAAGATCAATCGGTATCTGAGCATGAGTATACTTCCGAATCTTGCGCGGTAAAACTCTATGGAGCTTCCTTAAATCGAATCACAATAGTACTGTTACAATGCTGAAAGTAAACACCAGAGCGGGAAAACGAAACCTTTGGAAAGTTAATCTGCGTGAAAAATCGCTATCGAAAGTTTTCTATGCTTTATTAATTTGTTCGGAGCGATTCTAGAAAAATAACATGTAAATGCAGTTTGACTTACATGTTTGTAAGTTCATTATTCTACGCAGAAGTGTCACCTCCAGCTCGAGGGTTTGCTTTTACGGGCTGCTATCTTTTTTTTCATTGCTTTAACTTGAACATAGATTTTGTTTTAGAATGTACGTGCCTCAAGTATATGTATACCAATTTTTTTTTTAGAACCTCATTGTGTACTCATTCAATTAAAAGTTTAAGTGTTTTGATCTAGTGCCTAGTTCATTTCATCTTTTTAGTTCATTTACATGGCCACAAGGTTATTACGGAAAAAGACAATCTAAGATCGTAAGTCGGGCTACAGGTAAACGCGCTGTTATAAGTGTTGACCACTCACGATGCGCAGTGGTTCTAAAAGAAATACAGAGGTACCATGGTCCTGGTTTGTGGGCGTGGCGTAAAATTTTTTCACCCCTGAGAGGCACCAATTCTACAACAACACACTGTCACATATTTTTGGTGCAATACCTTGACAGGTATCACAGAGGCTGCTGCTGTGGACCTTTTGAGGCTGAACAGCCCAAGAGGTACTAAACCCGCCCTTTTTAACCTCTAAAAGCTATGATGAGCACCTCAGTCCCTTTCTAACAAAGTGTAGTCAAAACGGGTCAATTTTTCGGTGTTTGTTCAAGCGTGAAATATTCAACTTTGTCTAAACAAACTGTCGCGCTTCATCATTTAGAGTTATAGAAAATCCGTACTGTCAAGCACCGACTTTAATTTGAACGCGTGAGAAGGCTATACAAACGACATTAAACAGGGTTTGGTGGAAAATAAATCTTGATTAAAATAGTACGTACGTGCAGAAACATAAACACGGTAAATTGACGGTATGGACACAAAATTGCATGTTTCACGCTTGAACAAAAATACTCCCTGTAGCACGTTTCAAATTTCGAAACTTTTTACTTGTTTACGTTTCCAGAAAACTTTTAAAACGGCAGCCGGCTGTTATTTTGAACCCTGAAGATAATACCGGAAAACGATCAAGATCAGAGTATTCAATCATGATTACTTACAAGGCTGATAACTGACTTATCTTTCAGGCTGATAAAAGAAATGATGATTGAGTGACACTGCCATCTGCCAAAAAATTATTACGTTTTTAAAGATTCCCGCTTTCAAAGATTCCCCATTTTGAAGATTCCCGCTTTTAGAGATTCCCCGTTTTCAAGATTCTCGCTTTTAAAGATTTTCCGTTTTAAAGATTCCCGCTTTTAAAGATTCCCCGCTTTAAAGATTCCCGCTTTTGAAGATTTCCGCTTTTATAGATTCTAGTGAGACCTATTACGTGTCTGCGGTATTCCTCATTGCACGTGACTGAGCTTTGTGGAGAAACCCGAGGGTAAACCTATACTCCGACTAAAAAGTATACTAGTCTACACTGGCTCCTTTTCAACTTTCTATTCCTGGATATAACAGAAATTTCATGGAGCAAAGTTTACAGGCTTTATAAAAGCAAGTTATAATATCCAAGACATGATCCATGACACCCCGTTGTGTGACACTCTATACAAACAAAGAGCTCACTTACTGATTTTAAAAATGTTAATTGTTTGTCGCGATAATCTTGCAAGCGTATCGCGTGATTCTTTTTTTCCTGATTTAGAAATTAAGCTAAGGGTTTGATGACAGTTGAGTTACTTAAAATTTTGGTGTATAATTAATTAAGCGTAGCACGGTAATGACAGACTTGTAGCAAGAATGTTAAGATTGCGCACGGCAGGAGTGATATATAAAATCAATAATGGTCTGAAACAGTTAGGTAAGGAATTGTCAAGGGAAATTGTGCGCGTGTGTTTGGGTTGGAACATCTTGTTACTTTGGTGATGTGTCATTCGTGCCGCAAATAGTGCGTGCGCGCACAAAGGAAATAGCTTGGGATTTTTGAGTAAATCATGAATAAGTGATATATCAGTCTTGGTTTTTCGTAGTGTAGGCGTGCATTTCCGTTGTAAAAGCATATAAATAGAGTCACTGTCTTGTAGCTGAACGTCGAGAACGATTGAATGTAGAAAGTTCCAATATTGTATGGATCGTAAATAAACGCAGGAAATCGGAAAGATACATTCCTATTGATTGTCGAACCAGCGCTCCGTAGAAATTCTCCTTAACGCAGTGGAGAATTTTGCAACATTGTTTAACCAAAACATCAACACATAGAGGTGACGAACTGAGAGTGGTTTCTGCTAAGTGCTCGTCGTGTGGTTGTCAGAGGAATTTATATCGATCAACAGATTACACGAAAATAAAAGTTTTCCTATTTCTTCAAAATCAAAAACCTAACCAATATCAGGAATGTTTGAATGACGTATATCCTTCACCTTTACATTACCGACTGAAAATTGATCTAACCTTTTTTAAGAGCAGTTGTTCATTAACTGTGTCACGTAACTATTCTAAAAAAGAAAATTTTCTCAAATGAAATGATTCTCTTTAAAGGAGGCTGAAGCCAAAAATTGAGTTAATTTTTTCGACAGCCAGAGACGAATTCATGACTTCAGCCGTTTTTTGTTCTAAATGTTTCTTCCCTCTGAGAGATAATTCTTTAAAGTTTGTATTTTTGCACTGTTTCGGCTTTCAAACCATGGGCATCAATTTTAAATCAGATGTCTTCGGAAAAAGCTTGTGAAGTATGTTATGGGGAAAACCTGAGACCGTGTTCTCGTATCGTTTGGCTAAATTGTATCACAAATTGTCTCTTCGTCGCCCCTTTGTCATGAGCGGAATACAACCGTTTCAGTTCTTGACAATTCCAACTGACATATCAACCTAGAGGAGAACCTTCTCAGGAAGAGAATGAATTACATATAGTCGGATAATTTACCATATTCTGCACAAAATCTGTTATGTCTGAACTGAAAAAGTGTTGCTGTGATTACATACCTCCTCAATACTTCGCGACGAAGTCCCTCCCAACCGTTTTAAACGTTCACGAAGTTTGTTCTTCATCTAGTAAATTTAAGCCTTTCATTGAAGGACCGAAATATTTAATGAATTCGCAAGCTTAAGTTATATCGCCTATGGTACTTTTAACAAAATTCTCGAGAAGTCACGTCAACAGTAAGTGTTTTTTTTTTTCAAATGGCGTCAGATAATACCCAATGTAAGGTTACTTCTCTCAAAACCACTCGTGATGTTGCATTCCTCAAATCCTAGTTATCCATTTACCAGCCTATGGAGGTACTTGACGGGTTTTTCAAAGTCGTTGTACCCCTGAAAAATCATTTTCATGGCCACAAAACTCGGAAGGTAAAAACACTAGATTTTCTCCTGTACACGAGCACTTGATCTGTTAATAGATTTTAATACTCTGTCCAGACGGTTGGTACTTTGAAATTATCGATCGAGGGTAACTTCAACGGCGAATCCCTCTCAAGCTTATTATGAAATAATTACAATAGGGATCAATTCACTCTGCAAAGAGCATAATACGCATACCGCGTAACGCTCATTCAAATAAATCAATTGTTAGCATGAATCATTAGGCTACAGCCGTCTAATTAGCGTGATTTCCACATGTTGAGTAGTTAACTCGACTAAACTGTATCTCACATTGTTTTAGTTTGGGTTTGAATGGAAAAATTTTTAGATGCAAAGATAATCAATTGTTCCTTGCATTATATATGTTACTAATTCTGAGAAAACTGTGATGGTTTTTCTGAGAGTAAAGTTCCTGTCATTACACAGTTGTCAGAGGCACAGCAAGGTAGAATGGATTTGCAAGTCTCTTTTTGATCGCTGTCATTTGTGGTTTCTTTGCAGATAGTTGTATTCCAACATGTATCAGTATTTAAAAACGCTGGTAAATTGATTGGTTCGATGTGACTCCACTGCCATCTGTAATGCAAGAGCGAAAATCAGATCATTGACTACTTGCATGTCACGGTTGAACCAGATGTCTGTCATCGCCACGAGCTACCAGCCAATGAAATGATAAAGTCTGCTACACTAATAGCAATCAGAGACGATTTCCTAGAAACTAATATCATCTTAAACAAGGGATTCACGGTTGACTCACGCTTAGTAACTTTAAAATGTTTGATTTCTGTAAATAGGGAAAGAACACATGTTTATGTCAAGGTTTTAGGTCTTTTAGAGGCTGATTAGACTTTTATTATAATTAAAATCAGCCAGGGATTTGTATTTTCGCTCCAAATATCTATGTTATCAGGTTCTAGAGCGACCTTGCTGCTTCAAAAGGCGTTTTGCATTAAACATAAACATGACGTAAAACTTTGTTTACCGTAAGTCGTCACGTGATGATTCTGGGAATGTAGGCCTTGCAAAATAATCCCAAAAATTGAAAATTCCTTCGCTACTGGGCGCCCTGTATTCAATTTTCCACAATTTCTTTTAG